CCGGGTCAGATGTCATGTTACTTTCTTTGTTTCCGGGATTTGCATGAGAGGCGTACCTAACCGCCTCTCATTATCATATTGTCTCTATATAATCTCATGAATGTGTTTCTTCTACGCTTCCTGATTCAAATCTGGACCCCTCAGGAGCCCGAATCGATTCGTAAACTGCAGAAAATAAATTAAAACCCCTTCGAAGTAACTGTACATCGCCTCCAGCCTTTATTTGGATTACCAACATTCTCCTCGTCCGAAATTCAACGAACACGCGGGAAAGAGGAGGCCGCTCTTCTCCCAACACAACCGATTCAGGGTGTCCCCCACCTACTGCCCAAAGACGGCTGGGATAGGCTCCAGCACCCCCCGCGACCCTTGTGAGGATAAGCGGATCGGAAAATGGATGGATGGATGGATAGATGAATCGAGAGGCCTGCTTGACTGGTTAGCACGTCGGCCTCACAGTGCAGAGGTGCAGGGTTCGATTTTGGCCCTGGCCTTCCTGTGTGGAGTTTGCATGTTCTCCCCTTGCTTGTGTGGGTTTTCTCCGGGTGCTCTGGCTTTCCCACATTCCAAAAACATGCACGGCGGGTTAATGGAACACTCTCAATTGTCCAGAGGTGTGAGTGTGAGGTGTGAGTGTGAGCGTGGATGGTTGTTTGTCTCTGTATGCCCTGCGATTGGCTGGCATACTTCAGGGTGTCCCCCGCCAACTGCCCGAAGACGGCTGGGATAGGCTCCAGCACGCCCCGCGACCCTTGTGAGGATAAGCGGATCAGATAATGAATGGATGGATGGATGGATGGATGGATGGGTGCGGAAGGCAGAATATTTGATCACAGCTGTTTTTTTGGATTTTACAAGTGCAGGGACATTGTTGGTGAATCATGCGTAATATTCAGTACCTCTGATCAAGTATTTTATCACGAACCATAGTGATTCAAACCCTGATGTCTACATTTAAGTGAAAAAAAAGGGGAGGACCTCAGGACCTGCTGTATGATTCATGTACTTGGCTCAGTCTTGCTTGTATGTGTAAACTATAGGAAGAAGCTCTCTGGGTGGCTGTTTAAGTTTGATCCCTGCCTGTGCTAGGGTGATAAAATAAGTTAAATATTGAACTGTTTAAATCATGACATACGATGTCGATGATTAAATAACTTAAGATGAGAAAATATTCTGTCATTAAGAAGAAAAATACTTTATTTAGTCATGATTTAAATATACAATGTGACGTTTCTACTTTAGATGAGACATTTTATTTACACTTTTCAAGAGGTAAAATTACTGAACAAAAATTACCATTTAATTTCTTTTCTTAGGTTTTCAACCTGCAAAACTGGAAAAACTGCAAACATTTTGAAAAAAGTTAGAAAAGCTCAGCCACATGCCCCACTTTCTTCCTGTCCATGAAGGTGGACCAGCACGACAAAAAGAAAAGCTTGACAGTTACTGATCAGCTTTTTAAAAAGAACAGGCCCCTGGTGACCAGACACTTGTCAATATGCAGAATGGATAAAGTTGCTTGCAGTTTTTGTACTTTCTTTCCCTTTTTTTAAGTAGATGCTGGAAGTGCCAAAGATTTACGCTTGAAGTTAATTTTTTTTCCAGACGCACCAAAGGTTTATGGGGTGCATGGCTGATACATGCAGTACTCAGCGGGCACTTCATCATGTATGTCGTACAATCTTGGGAAAATGGCTATTGACATTATCAATGCTCAATTTTAAAGACGCTTTCAGAGTACGGTGGTTGTTGATGCTTACAGTGGTGTAGAATAGACGCATTTGTAATATTCTGGTGAGATTTCTCTCGCTGTAGAGGGGCAAAGTGTTGTAGTCGATAAGCGCACGGCTTGTGAGTGAGAGACTGTGTTTTATTGATCATCAAGCACTGATGAAGAGCCAAGTAATTGTGAGCACACTATTGTTGCAATAAATAACAAAAGCCTGTGCGATTTGTACCAATCGGTGAACAGGGCCAACGCTGGATTACGTGACTAGAAATATGGCAATATGGAGTACAGTATTTTGAAAAACAGCGTCATCGGCTGAACTACACCTATTGTTTTCTATGAGACAAGAGATTTATTTCTCAGTTAAACGCATATACTGTAAGTACTCGATTCCATTCTCCAATTAGCACCGGCGTCTCATCCACCTGAGTTTTCTCTCCTTTACATCTTTTTTATAGATTTGTTTGCTCGGCGAGTCATTCCTTACCATGCATACTTTTGATTCAGATGTCCAAATTGCAACTTGTCTGAGATGACATTTTGCTATTAAAACACAAATTGACAGTATTTTCTCTTGGTCGCTAATATTCCCACCGTTCCGTCTCTCTGTTTGATGAATGCACCAGTGGGTTTAAAGTCACGCACACACATATATTGAAATCAACTAAACATGTCACTATTCAACCATGTGACGCCAACATGACATGGCCCAGGACTGCCCCGTTATAGTGCACAGGTTGGAAATTTAACGCGCGACAGCGCTCTCTAGCGAGTGAATCACGGTATGGCAGATTCATTCCAAACCAAAACGACGTCTGACCGCGATCGAGCAGCTACAAGAATGATTTGTGGTTTGGTTTCTTGTTAGTCAGACCACTGTGTTAAAGGAACGCATTGGATAGATATAAAAGTCTGAGCCAATGCCAGTGAGCTACTGGTTGAAGAAAAAAAAACGTGTTCAAAACATTCTACATTATATACAGTACTGTAATATACGTTTCCGGTTTTTTTTTTTTTTAGATTTCAGTGAGTGGAATCAAGACTTATTTTGCTGTATTAACTTGATGTGTCAAGTGGGCCAACTGGAAAAACAAAACAAAACAACACCACCAATAATGCGCCAGTAGCATTAAAGTGATCTAAGATGCCTCCCTCAAAAGTAATTTTAGAAAGCTCTCTCAGATTGAGTTGCTGTAGTTTTCCCTTCACGCTCATCACAGAACCTATTGCAGAAAGTCTTGTCATTAAAATGCAAAACTGTTTGAATGTAAAACCTGTCGGCCTATCTGATGCGAGATATCCACTCAATGAAATGTGACAAAAAGGATACGTTTTATTTGCAGCTATCTTTATTATTTCTTCCAGTTTTGGATGTGAAAAGAGCCATACTTTTCTTTAAATATATTTTTAATAAAGTAAAGCAAAAGAACTATTTACACATTTTGATTGAACTGCAATCAGTTACTGTAATCTGATTTTACAATTACAAGCACTTTTGGCCAGCTGAGGAGAGAAATAAATACAGGGTAAACTTCCACTTTGTTTTACAAGAAAGCAAAACTACATGAGTATTTTCTTTTTAGGGGATAAAAAATATCAGTATATATGTACAGAACTCTCCTAAAATCTGTTTCCACTCATGGAAGCAAAAAGGCCTTCGGATTTGTCCTGTTGAACATTATTTTTAAAGTTACTTTCATAAAGTGGAGTCTCAACTATGCAACTTTTCAAGTTTCAATGACAGTATCTTATTAAAATCCAACAAGCGTCTTGCTGGCTTCAAGTTCTGTCGTGAAGTACAGACAAGGAAACAGTAGCACAGATACAGCGGAGGGTAGGTTACACTAAGTGTGTGCGTGTGTTTGTGGGCGGGGGGTCGACTGGTCATCGTGCCCAGCAGCAAAACTGGTCAGTGTTCGTGATGACTCTCCTCAATGACGCTGTCCTTGTAAAATCTGCGTTTCGTCTTCAGAAGTCTACAAGTCTTATGACTCCTGCTTCCAAATGTCCACCTTTCTTCAGATTTTTTTTCCCATTTACTAAAAAACACAGGCCAATCATTCAATACAGAAAAAAATGTTGAAAAAAAGCGTCTTCATGGGCATGTAGAACAAACACCAAGTGTCACTGTTGCAGAGTTGCCATGACAAATGGATGACATCATCAAAAAAATATATAGAGCCTCTAAGATATTTATGTATTTGTCAGCATAGTGTTGCTGAGATGAGGGAAAGCCATTTCAAAGTTGGAGTCAAAATTCAAAGCAAGCAGTCAAAAATAAAATATTGACGTAAACGCTATTAGCCTCCGCTTATCGGCATTCTCATTATCTACTCTAGATTCTTGTCACATGGATTCATTGGAAAAAGGACATTCAATTGCACAAAAATAAAAGAAATGACATGATTGAATGCTCAATCGATAATACAATCTCTCCCAGCTGAAGATTTTTTTTATTGCTTTTTTTTCCTCCCGTTTCTGTCGAAGGACTTAGTCAGCTTGTCTGAATCGTCCTCAAGTCCTGTCCCAAAGGATCCCAATTGAAATCCTCCCAGTCCAAATGTCACGCTCCAGAGATTCTAACTGTTGTCCGATTCGTCCGCCTGGCGTAACCATGTGAAGAAGCCGGTGACGGACTTGAGGGCCACGCCCTTGCCCTGCTGCTCGGCGGGGTCCTTGCACGACTCCCACTTGTAGAAGGCATCATCTTTGATTACTTCCTCATCATAAAGTGTGTCAAAGAACATTCGCAGCAGATCTGATGGTGGGAGAAGAGACATCACTTGAGCTCAGCACAGATATTCTTGGCAGGTGAAAGAAGCGAACGAATACTGTATTTTCCGCATTATAAGGCGCACCTAAAAGCATTCAATTTTCCCAAAAGTTGACAGTGCGCCTTATAATCCGTTGCCCCATATATATACGGTGTTACAGTCTCTTTATATTCCCCATTGAGTTGTTTCCCTGTTAGTGTTCCGTTGCCATCTAGTGGTGATTATTAGCAGGCACCAAATTCAATGTAAAAGGTTTTTACCCGACACTAATTGACATGTGTATTCGCCAACACACACTCAAATAGACAACTACAGTCAAACCTCGGTTTTCGTCCATAATCCGTTCCTGAAGGCTGTTCGAAAACCGAATTGTTCGAAAACCGAAACCACGCTCTTTAAAAAAAAAAAAAAAAGTTTATTGGAAACGTCTGCTCACAATGGAAAGCGACACGAGGAAGCATCACTTCCTCGTCTACCCGAGGAAGCATCATTTCCTCGGGTAAGGAAGGCGAGAGGAGGCAAGTGGGGCATTCAAGAAGTGTGCTCAGTTTGTTCGAGAACCGAAATTTGTTCGTCATCCGAGGCATAAAAATCTCAAAATTTTTGGTCGCAAACCGAATTGGTCGAGAACCGAGATGTTCGAAAACCGAGGTTTGACTGTACTTTGTGAGCTCTGCATAGCCATTATGACTTGACTTGAGAGAAGCAAGACTTCTAAGGATATTTAGCCCCTTGTGGAATTGAGCCCACGAGGTTGTGCCATTTTCTTGAATCAATTGTGTTCACAACATTTGTGCGCCCTATATTTGAAAACAGTTTTCAAATAGGACATTCATTGAAGATGCGCCTTATAATCCGAAGCGCCTTATAGTGCAGAAAATTACTTAAGTATTATGAGTAATAAGTTTAGGTTCTATTTTTTGGTATACAGTCACTCACTGGCCGGCTGCTCCATGTGCACCATTAGAGCCTGTAAGGCATAGAGAGCTTGCAACTCCTTCTGCTCATCCTTCAGGAATTTCTGCAGCAACTTGGCCCTCTGATTGATTATCTCATCATTCACCTTGTAGGGATTCTCACCTGCTTGTCATCAAAAAAAAAAAAAAAAAAGCAAAGTCAACAAGACATTCATTACAGCTCGCATATAGCGCTGATAGCATACATTAGTTTAACTGAATGTTTTTTGATCTGTACACTGGACAAAAATGCGCCTAAATCAGTTCATCATCCATCCAACCATTCTGTACTGCATGTCCTCATTCGTGTCGGGGGTGAGCAGGAGCCAAGCAATCACAGGGCACATATAGACAAACAATCCACTCACATCCACAACCTACACACAATATTTTCAGCGAACATGCATGATTTTTGGAATGTGGGACGAATAACCCTAGGACCCCCCCCCCCTTTTTTTTATCTTGTCCTGATTATCTTTGGGAAACATTCGATGCATTCAATTTTGTGGGAGCATTTTCTATGCAGTATGACTGCCACAATCCAAAAAACGTCTATAAACGTATGATTACTTGTGTGTGGCAAAACATCACTGACTTGCACAATGTCTTGATATCTACCCTATGGAACATTTTAGAGATTAACTAGAATGACGATCGTGAGCTAGACCCTCTTTTCATAAGCTCCCAAAACATTTAGGTGGATAAAGGGGGAAAACCTCCCATAGAGTCACCAAAGTTTTGTGCAAAATCTTGCCCAAAAAGTGTGGAAATCTGTTTTGGCTGTACAACAGAAATCAGCTTTGTAGGTTCATAAATTTTCACTACCAAAGGTGACAACCAAGTGTTTGTTTGTAGACAGTACGTCATATTTTTTTTCTCCTCACATTACCTACCAATCAGTAGTAGTCTGCCTCCTGGCCATGATTCAGTGTAAAAGGATTATTTCTAGTCTTGAACGGAGAATGTAAAATGAGCAACTCACAGATGATTGCTGACTGGCAAATACAGGTCATCAGTACTCTGACAAACATGTTGGAGGAGGCCTGCTGCTCATCCAGGTTGGCCTACAAGACAATGAACATTGCTGTGCTTATTTGCTAAACATTTTGGCAGCATCACTCACAAATAAACCACTCAATGAAAACAGCAACAGGGCTATTATTCATCAGTATATTGAAAGTTGAATATGGCCACTGTACAACATTTCTTGAAAAGCAAAAATGCTCTTCAATAGCATAAAATTGTTAAAATAACAATCCTGGGTTCTATCCACCTCTGTCTAATGTGGAAGAGGAAATCTATTTTTAAAAATAGGTACAACATAGAAGACAGCATGCACCAAATATATAACATTTGGGAGTCATTAAAAATCACACTGAAGTACAAGCTAACATCCATCCATCCATCCATCCATTCTCTGAACCACTTAATCTTACTAACATCGTTAACAATCAGTTTTTTTATTGCGATAAAGGAGACAACAAAAGGACAAAACCGGATCTGAACAGTAATGTAATAGAGATAGTTTGTCATTTAATGTATTCGTAAAAACATGGCATGTCTTTCAGATGTATTATGGGGGAAAAAAACGCGCCAATAAGAATACAATTCAAAGGCTGCCATTTCATGAATGGAATAACAGTAAGTGGAAGTCAAATGTTAATAAAAGCCCAATAAAAAAGGAACACACACCTCAATCCAGTCGATGATTCTTTTGCTGTCAGCCTTGTCTTGGATCAGTCTTTCAAGCTGTCTGCTCAACTCTGCAGAACTCATCTTCTTGGTTTTACTCTTTTCAGATGCTTCAGCCAGTGTGAACATCACATTCTGTACCCACAAATGGTACCTTGTTACGACTTCAGACAGTGATTTGAATTACGACTCCATAGCAATGGATCAGTCGAAGAGGCATAACCCAGTAGGTAGAGAAGGAGACAGAAGTTAGCGATCATCGCCCCTTACCTTTTCGGTCACAAACTTGTTGACATCTACATCCTCAGGGAGGAAGTCTTTCCATTGGAGTCCTGCCCCCCGCCACATTGTGCCCACCTTGTTATGGCTCTGGTTGTGAGATATGCACATTTACAAGCATCAGCAACAGATACATTACCCATTCAGATGATTTTTTTTTTTTTGATGCTGGTTCCAAACATCCACTGTGATTCTTACGACGCCGCCTCATTTAGCTAAGAAATGCATGGTCCCAGATGACCACAGTTTATTCTACTAGGCATCTTCCAATTTATTAGGATGTAAATCCAGGCGCTAACACTAAGGTCACAATAAATGAAATTATTGAATGACACTGAATTGATGAGAAAAAAAAATTCAGATTAAAAAAATATATATCGTTCAAAGTGATACAATTGACACTGAATTTGTAATCCCACACTGTACTTGATTTGTGAAGTCAAACCGATGAGCTCACCATCTCTTTGCAGAGTAAAGTGAGGATACAGACAAGCAGGTCTCCAGCTTTGCCCAGAGGGATCAAAGGCTTTGAAATCTCCCTGTAAAGTCCAAAAGATAGCGTTCACATCATTTGCAAATATTTTCCGTTTTTGTCTTTGAACATTCGAGGAGGTACAGAGACTAACTTAAACAGGTGTCCCATTGGGATCCCTCCCTCATGGAGCATGGGAGTGATCAGTTCTGACAGGTAGAGCCAGATGTGCGGGATGTCGATCGCCATTTCTTCAGCTACCACCAGGATTTCACGAAGCCTACATAAAACAAAGTCAATGCTCTGATTTAAATGGGATTGGGTTAGCAATTGAAGAAAAAAAAAACTTTTGTCATACAGTATTTGCTCAAACAGTCAGTATGATGCGATTGTAGGACATGAATAAAATGATCTGTGAAAAAAGTCAGCCCTGCCCCCATCTCGTACCTCTAATTTGATTTAATGATCTAACGACCGCCCCTGAGGAAAAACAACCAATCAGACAGAGGGCCTTGCAAGGTGACAACCATTTGCCATGAACTTGCAAGCACAATTACAGCTGGCACATCCCAGATGCCCCTGTTACCTTGGCCTTCAGGAAATCTGATGAAACGAGAGTGGAAAATCCACTTTTCCAATCCACGAAATTAATCTGTGTCCATCCATCTTTTGCAACTACTGGGCATAAGACTAACAAAAAGTAGCAGAGAGAAAGGATTTCACACACTGAGGGGATTAAAGACCACTGCGGAATCAGCAACATTTCTGCTCGATAGGCATTTTTTTAAATTGATTTTAAATTCCACAAAAAAAAAAAAGACATTTCAAGGCAATAACAGACTACAGGGGACTAAAAAAAGGGACTACAGATGGAAATTAGCCAAGGGCTATATTCTGTCATATTTACGTGTAATAGTTAATGAATATGCACTCTCCCTTTAAAAAAAAAAAAAAATCATGGTACGTACGAAAAAGACATTGCTAACATTAGTTTGTTTACAGTGTTGATGCTATCTTGGTATTGCTAATGCTGCTATTTTGTTAATGCTGAATACATGGTCTATGTGATTACTTATCACGACTATGCACCTTCATAATTGCCATGATTATGCACCTTTATAATTGCATTGGGTTATGAAAGCCACGTTTGCGAATCCAAGCTCGTGTCCGTTAGTAAGAGGCGTGACTTTGGTCAATGACTCGTGAGAGGGGTCCGGGGGGGAATTAGTGAAGTGAGGCTACGTTATAGCCTGCTAAAAGTTTCATACTGCAAAATCGCCTCTTAAAAGCACACTAAAGGAAGGGACCAATACAGAAGTATTGTGATTCTAAAACTGGAAATAAATGGCACAATATGAACACGTGACAGAAGACGACAACACACAATGATAAACATGAATGACATGATAACAACAAGAGTTTCTTATCAAATGCTTGAAACTACATGTGTATTCTGACAAGACAACGTGTTAGTTAATCATGCATGATCAGGGCTTTTGAGATTTCCTACTGACCCTTTAAAGTACTGTTCTGTCAGGAGGATGCCTGTCTTAATGAGCTGGTGCAGCAGCCGACCCAGGTTCTCTCTTGTAATGGTGTTCCGCTCCAATGTTGACTCCAGACCGAATTGTACAAACACAAACAACAGCTGAGGGCAGTTTATCTCGTTCACACATTGCAGGGCCTCCTGTGGGGACAGAGAAAAACATCATTGGCTATCAATGCGTGCTGATACATTTATATTTATTGTGTTTTCACGAGCATAAGGCGCACTTCAAAGTTTTACATGTTCTCCAAAATAGATGGTTCGCCTCATAATGCGGGGTGTCTTGTGTTTACCAAGTTCCCAAATCTGTGAATGCTGTTGTGTGACTTTGATGAGAGGTGCACTTGACTGAATGACATGCTGACACGCTTGTTATATAGAGGACAACATGCAGATGTTAAAGTGGGAAGGGTGGGGCGTGAAAGAGGATGCGAAAGGCACACCCCCCGTAAGTGTTTATAGGTGTATATAGTACATGCATTTTCAGCGCACTGAAATAATACTTTGGGAGAATTTTTAGGATTTAATAATTATGTGATTATTTTTTTCCCAAAATTTCAGTGGAGTCAATTATAAAGACATTTTGGCTATTCGTGGTCCAGGCAGGTCCCAAACCTCTGCGAATAAATAGCAGGGTTAAATCGATTCGAAAGATTGGTCCATCTTCTGATGCGATAATTGTTTTTTAAAACTCACTGATCGGTGATCACCTCCAAAATCCTGATTATGTAATGCCTACAAAACTACGAAACCTGCTGGCGCTTAAAAGGTGCTGCAAAGAGGAATAGGTGATAGTACCTAAAGACAGGTGTGCCAAACTCGTGGCATCATATTAAAAAAATACTCCCAAAGGCAAATCATTTTTCACGTTGGCATTATACTGTGTGTTTTGTGTCGAGTTTAAAGGAGAGCGGGGGGAATTCCCATTTTGGAATCAGGCTATAACAGTGAAATGAAGAAAAAGTGAAGGGCTGTGAGAACTGTCCAGACTCATGGAGTAAGCCAATTGTCAATTGTTAATGCATAAGCAATAAGCATTCGACATATGTTTCAGTTTCGAGTACAATGAATTATTTTACAAAGAATAAATAAATCCCGTTTACAAAAACAAAACATTTCTTTCAAATGTATTGTAGATACAGCATAGAGTACGCTTTGGCAACCCATCCGAGCTGCTTTTTGGAGAGGCACAATGAAGTGACATGTACCAAATTTTGAAAAAAATTAATAAAAGTGTTTTGTCTTACCTTGATATCAAGGATGTGGAGGTATTCTTCAATGATGGCTTTGGATTTTTTGGTTAGCTCTTCCACAGTCAAAGCAGGCTTGGTAGCAGTTTGGAGAGGTGGAGGAGTGCAAGCTGTTTCCCTCCTCACTGTTTATGTTATCAAAACGACACCAAAATGTCATGACCAGGTACAGAACTAAAATCATGCCGGCGAAAATGGGAATGGTGACACACAGGAGTATGAATACGACAGTAAAAGTCTGGTCAGGTACCGTTCTCTCGACTCTGAGTTCTCTCTTTGCTGCCGCGATCTCTGTCATCTGTCATATTTGCTACTTTGCGGACTGGATCTGCTGAACCACTCTGCTCTCTCTGCCAACTCTGTTCTTCATTTTCCCGACTGAAGCTGCGTGTAGCAGCACCCTGTGGCCTGTTTCGCTCACGATCATCACGTCGGTCAAGTCCACGATCGGCCCGGTCAGAACGCTCGCCCCGCTCTCGACTTGAGCTGTTTCTGTATGGGGACAGATTAAAAGCAAACATGGGAAAATAACACTGGCAGAAAACAAAGTTTTAATGACAAACACACAAAAAAACATATATTGTCGCAACTAACAAGTCCTTGTAATGTCAAACAGTAATTACAACTGTGGATTAATTTTTTTTGCCTACTTTTGCTGGTGGTTTATAACTCACATTTGCTCGGGCTGGCTTGTGCAGACGATTAATTCAACTTATGAAAAAAGGTGGATATAAAACTAGACGTGAACCAGTTCCGATCACGTTGAAGACCCAACAAATGCGGTAAAATATTACGTGTTCATAGCTTTGAGAAATTAAAGCAAACCAATTTATTTTCTTGACAAATAAAAATAGATTCGATTTACTGGTCATCCGAGTTTGGTAAACATGATTTTTCAAACAATACAGGATATTCATGAATATCTTTGTAGCCACACTGCATCTGTGAGCTTAATGACAAAAGTACAATTTTATACACTGTTATAACATTATCTAAAAATTGCCAAGATGTATGCACCATCAATATTGATGTATTTGAAAAAAAATAAAATAAAATCACACGGTTGGCAGGTCGGAATGACAACATTACAACTTTGTTTTACACAGTTACAACTGTTCTTACCTCTGAGGAACCCGTCTGTCTGACTCTGAAGTGCCTGACGAGGACTGTTGCAGAGCTGAGAACCTGTTGGCAGCTGGACGGCCGCCCAATTCTGGGGCAAGGAAGAACAATACACTCATAGATTGTTTTGTTCATACTCAAGGCTGCAGAGATATCTAACCGGGAGACCTACCGGAATCCATAAGCTTGTTGGTGCTACCACCACTACTGCCCCTACCCCAGCTCAAAGCACCTTTGCCTCCTGGAGCGAGACACTGAGCGTGGATATCAAAAGATGCCTGATAAAAAGAACGGTTTGTTGATTAAAACCAAACTTCCACCTGAAAACGAGAGAGCTGAATCAAAGCTGCTTCAGCATATGGCTTAATTGAGAGCTGACGTTTGATAAGACCGCATGACTCGATATAACTGAAATGTTTTTCATTTTCGAAGTTCTACCCTTTCAATGGTATTTTTTGTGTGTTTCTATAATATGCGAATTTTATTCATGATAATGGTGATTTTAAAGTACAGTGGACGCTTGCTTTCTTACATTTTATGGGGGCAGGGGAAAGCCCACCACCATTTTCTGTCATATTGGCATTTCATCCCTGTTTATTCAAGAATTTTTTTGAGTGTCCCTCTTCCTTCTTGCTCTCTGCAAGATGATCATCTGATCGAGTGTCATCTGCTGGTTTCAACTGTCGATCAACGCCAAACTTGGCATGCAACACAAGGGTGGCAAGTTCACATGACGGATATTGTCCTCATTTCGATATCTTGAATGTTCATATCTTGATTTTGATACTAGAAAGAGATATCACCATTCTCTATTTAAAACAAAAGCGAAACAATTGTTTGACATGTAATTCTGAGTGGATTATTCTATTTCAAGGTTGTGCTTGATGCAGGGTGGAAAGCAAATAATACATGCATATAACAGACAAGAATTGCAGTACCTTTGGGAATTTCAATTTCCCATCATAAGTTCGGTTCTTGGAAACTGTGTTCCAGCCATCATCTTGTGGTGAAACACCACGGCCAGGAGTGTGAGGTCCTCCACGACTCCCTGATCCTCCTCCACCCATCCTGTTTCCCGGACTGCCGAAAGACTCTTTCTTAGCGATGAGGGCATGTTGCACTTTCATCTGCTCTCTGTGCTCCTCCAGCTGAGCTTCTTTGTGGATCTGGTCAATAGTCTTTGGGCCTTGGTCGCCTCGTCTGGGCACCCAATTACTCTGAGATGATGCGAGAGAATTTAAGCAGAATAAATGCTAGATCACCAAAACTGAAAGAAGTACAGTCAAACCTCGGTTTTCGAACCTCTTTGTTCTCGACCAAATCGGTTTTCGACCAAAAAATTTTAGTTTTTTATGCCTCGGTTTACGATGGGAAATCGGTTCTCGACCCAACTGAACGCACTTGAATGCGCCACTTGACTCCTCTCGCCTTCTTTACACGAGGAAGTGACGCTTCCTCGGGTAGACGAGGAAGTGACGCTTCCTCGTGTAGCATTCCATTGTGAGCAGACGTGTTCAAGAAAGATTTTTTTTAAAAAAAGAGCATGGTTTCGGTTTTCGAACAAATCGGTTTTCGAACAGCCTTCTGGAACGGATTATGGTCGAAAACCGAGGTATGACTGTATAGTCAAAACCAGTTACACAATAATCAGACAAAAGAGTAACTTGATAAGGCTTTGCAGTGACATTAAACACTGCCGGATGATGAGGTGTGAGCATCACTGTGTGCTGTGATCGGGCATAATAAAGTTGTTAAAACATCAGGTGGAGGTTATGAGCATTTACCCGTCGAAGGTCCACCACATCTTGCAACATAAAACGGATCCTGGCGCTGGTCTTCTTTTCCTTTATTACTTTATCCATCTGTTTGAAGTACTGGTCCATAAGAGGCTAGAAAGCATTACAACACAACGGTCAGTGCTGTAGTTTTGTTTTGTACGTTGCCAACTTTGCAAGCGTAAGCTGATGTATTGAACTGCAAGGGTGCAACCGTACCTTGGCCTTTTCAAAGTCTAGATCCTTTCCAATGGTAGATAACAGTCTGCACAGGCACTCCAGAGACTCCTCATCATGGTTTTTCAGTAGCTTTACAATGCACTCATGCATAATGACTTCCGTGAGCATCTTTAGTTTGAATAGCTCACCGATGAATTTAATATTACCAAGTGAGCGCCTCCTAGCCTTGTTTTTAGACTCTTCAAGATCCTCAATTAACCGTTGCTTCTCCTCATCCTGTTGTGGGGAAAAGTGTGATGTACAGTTGACAAATACATGGTCATTTTAAAAATTGTTTATCGTGAACAGTAAAATTAAAAAAAAATACTTTACAGTACAATACCCCTTCTGCAGCCTCCAGCTCCTGTTGCTTCCTTTCAAATATCTCGTTGTCATATTTATCCTTCTCAAACTCATTCTGGCATCGATTCAGGAGGAGCTTCCGGAAGTTCACAGTGTCCCCTGGCTTATCTGTGGCTTGGACTTTTAGCTAAAAAGTTCAGAATTTTTATTGCCGATGCCATTTATTAGAAGTCATTTAGCCTTAAGCTGTCTAAATAGGGAGTAACTCTTAGTATGTTTTTGATACATACCCCCAGAAGGCAGCGGCACATGTTCGCATAGGCCACTGAAAAATCTGGCTCAGAGATGGCCTTTTCAAAGGTGAGGTCTATGACACCTTTTAACTTCTCCTCCGTGTCGATAGTGAGTTCTGACACTTGTTTCATTAGCTGTTGAAACTTTTGCGGGGTCAGTTTGTTGAGGATACTGCGGACCTTTTTAAATAATTCCTGCGTCTTGAGTTGATCTGGATCATTCTCCACGGTCTCTTCTCCAGCGCAACCACGCATTGCTTTTTTCAGGGAAGGCTTCCATGCCTTCTCAGCCTTGTTCAGCTTGACATCCTCATTAAGAGACATGCTGGTAATAATTTTCCTCGGTTCTTTCCGTTGCATCTGCTGAGACCGACGTGGACCACCTATACCGACACCCATACCGGGAGGCTTAAAAAAAGAAAAAAAAAAAAAAGAAAATAGGAAAGAGGGAAATTGAGAGGACAAAATAATGACACAGCACTACTAAATAGCTTGTCTGTGATCGTGACAAACAAATGTAACTTACTGGTCCTCGACTTCCTCCTCCTAAACCTGGCCTGCCAAGGTTAGCAAACGAAGGTGTGAAATCAGGACCATAGTTCACCCCAGGCAGCCGACTGGGGTCAATTTGGCGCAGAGGAGTCTTGTTAGCCTTAATAGAAAGGTAGATGTGCTGATCATAAAAAGCAAACTATTAAAGATTTTGCACTGCCATGTTTTTCTGTTTGCAAACAAGTCTGAAATCCGACAGACTTGTCTATTCGTAGGGTGTTTGTTTTTCTTTTAAATTCTTGTCTTTACCCCTTACCCCATTAAAAGTAAATGGGGACTATAAGCTATTTTATATGTTATTAGTGTATGTGGCTGTACCTTGTCTAGGACAACATCATTTATAGCAGGAAGACCCTCAGGCTTATTCATACTGGCTGAGATGAATTGAAATCTCAGAAGGAACGCGCGGTCATACTTTTTCTTCTCCTCCGGATTGATTGGCTTCCATTGTTCTGGAAATAAAACATTGTGGAAACATAAAAAAACTGAATACAATGATGTGCAAATCACGTTCAACCTATATTTAATTGAATGCTCTCCAATGACAAGATATTTAATCTTCAAACTGATAAACTTCAATGTTTTCAGCAATAATCATTAACTTAGAATTTTATGGCTCTGCGACATTCCAAAAAAGCTGTGACAGGTGGCAAAAAAATGAGAACGCTGAGGAATGTGGATCAAACACCTGTTTGGAACATCCATTAGGTGAACAGGCTAACTGGGAACAGGTGGATGCCATGTTTGGGTATAAAAGGAGCGTCCCTGAATTGCTCAGTCATTCACAAACAAAGATGGGGCGGGATTCATCTTTGCATCAGATAATAATCAAACAGTTAAAGGACAATGCCCCTCCACATACACTTGCAAGGAATTTCGGGATTTTGGCATCTAAACTCCATAATATCATCAAAAGGTTCAGAGAATCTGGAGAAATCACTACATGGAAGCGGCAATGCAGAAAACCAGCTTTGAATACTGGTGGCCTTCGATCCCTCAGGAGGCACTGCATCAAAAACATCACCGTGCAAAGGATATAACCACATGGGCTCAGGAATAGTTCAATAAACTGATACCAGTAAATACAGTTCAGCGCTACATCTGTAAGTGCAACTCAAAACTCTACCATGCAAAGCAAATGCCATTTATCAACAACACCCAGAAATGCCGCTGGCTTCTCTGGGCCTGAGCTCATCGCAGATGGACTGATGCAAAGTGGAAAAGTGTTCTCTGGTCTGTTGAGTCCATATTTCAAATTGCTTTTGGAATTTGTCGACGTTGTGTCCTCCGGGCCAAAGATGTTGAGAACCATCCGGACTGTTATGGACGCAAAATTAAAAAGCCAGCATCTCTGATGATAATAGGCTGTTTTAGTGCCAATGGCATGGGTAACTTACACATCTGTGAAGGCACCATTAATGCTGAAAGGTACATGCAGGTTTTGAAGAAACATATTCTGTCATGCAAGCAACGTCTTTTTAATAGATGCCCTTGCTTATTTCAGCAAGACAATGCCAGACCCACATTCTGCAAGTGTTACAACAGCATGGCTTCGTAGTAAAAGAGTGCGGGTACTGGAATGGCCTGCCTGCAGTCCAGACCTGTCTCCCATTGTAAATGTGCACCACAGCATGCAATGTAAAAGATGACAACACTGTATAGTAGATTATTAAAATAACCACCTTTCCACCAAACTACTTTCAACCAATCGGTAGATATACTTGTACATACAACTCTTCTTTTCAGGAAAAGAAAAACACCTATGTATATGGGGGAGAGAAATAAGTTATATGTTCATACTGAACTGCCAGTAGAAGGCAGCAACTGGGATAATGTACCTACCCTCTTTATACTGATATTCCTTGTCAGTTGCTGTCTGCTTCGGAGGGTTTGGCTGAATGTTCTCAGAATCCAGCTTGTCCTCCTTGTCCTCCCAAGTTAAGTCATTGTCTTCTAATGCTGGAGATGGAGCAGGAGGCTGGGTTTCAGCTGATGTTGCTGGGACAACCTCGGGCTCTGGTGGTACAACTACTTTCTCCTGGAACAATGGAGAAAATGTGTGAATGGTTCAAAGTCGACCAGCAATTTCACTGTATTTTATTCACACAGACTTTAATTACATGTAGTGGTTGAAACAAGTGAATGTACGCCCACCTCTTTAAATGCATCCAATAGATCTCCCACTGCCTCCTTTTTATTCAAATCCTTCATTTTTCTCTTTTTCTTTGGCACAGCTACACAAAATGGACAAACATCACGTAAAAAAAAAATAATAATAATCCAGAGATATAATTTAGAAATGTAATGCATACTGTCGATAGGTAGTAAATGACACACCTTGCATAGTAGTTTCTACAAGGGTAATGACAGTCTGGGGAGGACTTGTCACTGTTTCTCGGACGCGGTCATCTTTTGAGCCTGCCACCAGTGGAGATGACATTGATCCTGCAGTACATTGAGGCATTATGGTATCCTCACTGGTGTTTTGAGAAACAGGAGGAACTGTTTCTTCAGCCTCGGGCTGGGAAGATGCTGCCTGGGTAATTGTTTCAGCAGGAACCTCTGGACTGACGGTAGGAACGGACTCGGCAGCAGGCGCTGTGGTTGATTCAACAAGTGATGTAGGCACTGCCTTCATGGTGGCTTTGGAGGTTTTAATGACAGGCTGCAGACAAACATCAGGCTCAGCAATGGGGCTGTCATCATGCTCTTCTGCGCTAACAGCAAGGGCCTCCGGGTCTTGGGGGGATGGAAGTGGTAAACCATTGGAAAGGCAGAGCTCCTCTGGCTGAGCAATAGGAGACTCCAGAGAAGACTCCTGGTGACTAGATGGCAGCATCACCGAAGGGCTTTTTGGCACATCTATAGCCACACCATTTGCAGAGGAGGAGAGTGTGTGAGACTTGTCCATTAAAGATGAAGCATCCTCTGAATGAACCTCCTCCTCCTCCTCTCTAATCATCACATCCACCTCCTCAAGATTTGTGGCTGTCCTTTCTGGGTTTTCCTGAACTGCAGAGGTGGGCATAGGATCAGGAAGGGGTGCAGGGTAGGCAGGCACCTCAGGCGCAGATTGAGGCTCTGGAGTTAGTTCTCTGGGAGATGTGGCAGCGAACATTATGTCTGTAATGGCAACAATGGGCGCAGGTGGGGAAATACAAATAGTGCTGACAGGGGTTTCTGATATTACAGATGGTGTAGTTGGCTGATTGTTCATGTCAGACAAGGTAGCCTCTGCTGGGGTGAGGTCATCCTGAACAATATCAGGAGGCTGTGACAAAGAAGGCAGCAAAGGTTTTCCTCTGTCATCTGTAAGGTCATAAAAATCAAAAGAATTTGTACAAATTCTAACAATATCAAATCATTCATTTCAAACACTTTTTTTCATTTTATGTACAATAGGTCCATTCTTGGTGCTGATGAGCTTGGGCAGTTGGACATCCTCCACATACCAAAGCTAACATTTTCTTCTATCGTGATCATTTGTTGTATAACTTGGGTTATACAACTGAAAGGTAAACATATTTATTGGCTTCTCTGTAAATTTTCTCTGCGGATCTAAGAGCAAAAACTTTGCTGTTGAGCAGATTTTGTGCCTGTGTCATCTTTTTTGGGAGGCATAGGGATTGGGGGGTTAATTTACATGCATTTCGAAGTTACCCATATCAGGCATGTATACACGTCTAAATTTCTTAAACGTTTCAACAATGGGCAGCAACATATTTCGTGCATGACTTAATTTTTAATTAACAAGTGACAGCCCATTTACCATTGACTTAGAGATGAGCTATCGTTTGCATCTAATTATTTGACATGATTTATTGTTTGCATTTGTATATGTATGTAATTTTAAGTGACCATTATCCACTCAGTGATTACCGTTACCGAACAGCTGAAAAATGGTCCGAATTGTGTCATTTAAGAAGTGACATTTTTGTACACAATGTTGCCTGGCGCACATGTCTTATTTCAGAACAACTTTCTCGCCATTGTATCACACAGCCAGCCATTAAAGGATGTAATTACACAATATGACACTGTTGTCGCATGTAGTACAGCTAGTACAGGTGGGTGACAAAAAAGTTGAATATGGAGAGTCCATTTATTTCAAGCATTTTTTTAAAAAGCAAAATTTGTATCTTAGACGAGGGTTATTAAATAAATAAGGTGACTTTCTCGGTATAAGGACTTCTAATACAGATAGAAGCTTACTTTTTTTCCACTGTAGTCTCCCAGCACTGTCACATAATTTTCCCATCTGTGCACAAGCTTCTATATTCCCTCAGTGTAAAAATCTTCAGACTGATGTCTCAGCCAGTCACTCACAACACATGAGGGAGCAATTCCCACCCCAGCTCGTTGATGGTCTGCACCGATTGGTCTGCTGTGTGAGGCCTTGCGTTGTCATGACGCAGGATGACTCGTTCTGACTGATTGTCAGAGTTTTTCTCGGACAAAGTTAAAGAAATGACTGGGCACACAGGGAAAATTGTCTTCAATATTGACGGGAGGTATCTCTGAGGGCGAACGACTTTTATTGTAACATATGCAAAATACAAGAAAAACACTGCCCCCGGTATTTGCATACCACGCCCCCGGTCCGGCCCCTCGGTAGTGATTGGTTAACTTGGTTTAAGCTTTCAACCACCGGTACGTTGACGCCTTTCTGTCTGGTCTACAATGAATCAACACGCTGCAGACTTTGCAGACGACAAATGTCGCCTGGGCGCGACAGGTGTTCTCAAATCGTCTTTTGTTGTATCACAAGGCTTTGTTCCCGAATTGTTCATTCCCACTTTGTGGCCGAGTCTAGCCTTCTTCCCTCTGTTCACCCCCTTGCATTGACGTGATAATTGTGGACTTCAAAAGCCCTCCGCCCAGACGGCCGGCGCCTTTATGCACAGGTATTTGGGGGCGCTGGATACGCACCCAAACGTTTAGACGTGCCCAAATTAAATGAAACTTTAAACATGATACAATTTTGCTCATAGATTTCTCTATCACTGATGACCCCTGCGTTTGTTCTTTATGTCTTTCTTGAGCTGCCTCAGCAGTTCACAGTAGTTGGCACGAAGTTTGAAAGTGACGAAGTCAAAAGTGTTGTGAGCGACTGTATGAGAAGTCCTTATATGTACTGAAAAATTCACCTTATTTATTGAATGACCCTCATATTAGTTGACCACAAAGTGAAATATATCTCGCCTTTATTTGTTTCACTTTTGAAGATTATGGCAGAAAAACACACTCAAATTCAGGAATTCACAAAATCTCAATATTTCATGTCACCTACAAAAAAGGATACCACACAGATATGTTGGCCCTTTAAAAAGTGTATTTAAGTACAATATGACAGTACTTTGTTGGGCCTCCTTTTGCATTAAGACTGCGTGGCATGGAGGCGATCAGCTTTTGGCACAGTTCATATGCTATCATAGCCTAAGTTGCTTTGATATACGCCTTCAGAACGTCTGCATTTCAATGTTTCTGCTCCCTCACCCTCCTCTTGACAATACCCGATCCATTTTCAGTTGGGTTCAAGTCAGGTGAGTTTGTGAGCCAATCAATACCTGTTCTTCCATGGCCATAAAAGCAGGTCTTAATAGTTTTGGGTTTGTAGGCAGGTGCCAAATTCTGCTGGAAAATAAAATCACAGCCTCCAAAAAGCTCATCAGCAGCGGGAGGCATGAAGTGCTCTAAAATTTACTGGTAGAAAGTTGCGGTGACGGTGGACTTGATAAAAGACAACGGACTCACCCCAGCAAATGACATGGTTCCCCAAACCATTTACTGACGAGGGAAATTTCACACTGGACTTGACAGCTTTACTTTTGTGCTTCTCTAGTGTTCCTTCAGACTCTGAGATGTTGACTTCCAAATGAAAATTAAATTGTATTTTCATCTGAAAAGTGGACTTGGGACCACTGGGCAACAGACCTGTACTTTTTCCTCCTTAGCCCAGCACAGACGTTTCTGACATTGTTTTAGGTTCAGGAGTGGCTTGAGTCATGGAATTCTACAGCTGTAACACATGTCATGCAGATGTCTGTATGTGGTGATTCTTGATGCACTGACACCACTCCTTATGACGCTCCCCCAGATTTCGGAATCGCCGATGCTTGACAGTCCTCTCAAGGTTGCGGCCATCCCTGTCACTTGAGTGCCTCTTCTGGCCACATTTTGCCCTTCCTCTTAACACAGTTTGTGGGCATCCCGCTTCTTTTGCAATTTCTTGCTTAGATCTTTTCGCCTTATGGAGAGTGTCAAAGATGGCTTTCTGCACAACCGTTAAACTCACTTGGCCAGATTGAGACCATTTAAAGGCTGAGGAAAACCTCTGAAGGTGCTTTGCATTAATTAGCAGATTGGGACACAGGGAGCCTTGAACTTTGTCATCTTACAATTTTGTGAAATAAAGTTTTTTTTTTTTTTAAACTTTTCTGTCTTTCTGCCATACTCATCACAAATGAAACAAATGAAGGCTGAAAATTGTCACTTTGTGTGTGGTGAACTGATATAACACACACATTTCACAAATTGTTGAAATAAATGGACTTTGCCTCGATATAAAATAATTTTTGGGCACCCACTTGTACTTGCCAGGAAGCTCCTTTAATGTCGTTGAAAACCTTTTGGTACCCTCCATGACTAATTTTCCTTCAAGTATTCATATCAATTAGCCATATCAAGATTTGTGGCAATGATCTTCAAAGTGGATCATGGCATATTTGACATGCTCTGAGTGGACTATGACTTTTGTTGTCAGATACGATTCAGTTAATCATAAAAAAAAACCCTGCTCGAGAAACAACTAAATTTGCAGATTAACCTGAGTCTGGTGTCATTTCATGTCACTCTCCTCAAAAGGTCTCTACAGGTATGAGTTAGTTTTCTTTAGTCTTCATATGTCTTTTAGTTTTTGTACAGTGCAAATATGAATGTCAGCACGGGGGCTTGATCAGTGCGGCCTGAGGATATTATTTGCACTTAAATCCTCCATGGATTAGAGTATAACAGAGTGTCTGCAGATGGAACTCACCTGTTCTAATATCTGCTGGACCAGCAGCAGCTGGGGTGTTCTCACCGTTGGCCTGGACCAATCCTGTGTCTGATCCTGATATGGCAGTCTGTACAAACATAAGAATTCGTATTTTTGGTGCATAGATTGAAGAATCCATAGTAATCCAAACCGTATTCCAATTTCTCTCACAAAATGATTAAGGTATGTCTGTTACGAAAAACAATATACAGATTTTTTCGGAGGATCGGGGGGGGGGAGCATGCTAATGAATGAAATCTTAAAAAAAACAGTGAAGTTAAATTAAGTCGACAAAAACTTACCTGTGGTGGAGTTGGGTTTGATCCACTGCAGCCCCCTGACATAATCTCCTCTGTGACGTCCCGGCCTCCTTGGTTTGGGTCTCTTATTCGGATCTATGGAAAATAGTGGAAATTAGGTGCCAAATAGTTAGTTATGCAAAGCCAACAGAAGGAAATAAGGACATCATTTACATAGATTGCACACTTGTGTTGGGCCGCAAAAAGAGTCATATGAGCAATACTACTGGGGTAGCACAGTAGACACTTAAGACAAGAATCACTCACCGTGCATGCCTATAATCGTCAGCTTTTCCTGCCTGTCCTATGACTCAATAAGCATTACATTTCTCACATTATAACATGCAACACGTCAATTCAACCCCAATACAATTCTCTACGCCACTTGTAACTAAAATACCAAACAAAACTCCCATTGCAGTTTTTAATGGTTGTGAAAATGTTCGTGTTTTGGTAAGACAGGTCGCAATCTGACTTGACAATCGTTTTGCATTCAGACACACTGCTCTGCTGCTTGGGAGAAGTGTAATCACTCTCACATTAAGTGCCACACAAACATTTTTGAAACACTCCCTCCTCCTCTCTCTCACTCACCCGCTACATGCTTATTCTGGCAAGTCAGCGCAGCCATGAAACTGGTATGAGCCAGAATGCTCCTAAATAAAGTGACATGCACAGTCATGGGACTAAAACGTGAAACTTATCCTTGAGCAAGTATGCACAAACAAATACTCTCCCCTTTAAAAGTTTGACTCCCAAAAAACAAAATGGTTGTTTGCCATGACTGACCTTTGCCGGGCCCAGTCCATTGGTAGCTATTCCGTGCCGAGTATTCTGATCCCTGGAATGGAATGGCTGCTCTAGCCAGTTCCAGTTTTGACATTAAACACCGTAAACGCAGGCGTGTGGTGGAACGTTTTAGCAAATCTCAACTGTCCCAGCTTGAGGAGGACTGGGCTGGGCTGTGCTTTGCTCCAAGTAGACTAGCTAGGAACTTCACTCTCTCTCTCATTTGATGAACAGATCAGGGAGGAGTGAAAGAAAAAAGGATGGTCACTGGCCTTCTAAAGCTATGGCATTGGAATGTGCAACTCCCGCCCACAGAGACTAACAGACAGTTAAAGGGGCCCACAAGGGAAGCAGAGGAAAGAGCAGAACGAAAAGAATAGGGGCATTTCAAAGAGAGGGAAGGTTATAATAAAATGAGCTGCAACTTGCAAAATGAGCCTCTTTGCTCATTCTTCCTCACAGCCGACATGCTGCAAACTTACTCGAGAGCAAAGGAAACTAGTAGAAGAGGAAGAGGGAGTGCCACAGAAATCAGCAGGGGAGGGGGAGTAGTTGGCCACGTGGAGCTGAGCAATGTGCTGACACGTCCCACAGCCCCTCCCCCTCTAGTTTTTCCACTTTGACATGGCGACAGCAAGATAGATGAACACTGGGTTAAGAAAACAATTAAAAAGCTAACGATTTTATATGCCATCAGTGTCTTGTCAATCGAAAAACACACTGTAAAACATACACATTATTTAACCGACCCAAAATATAACCCACTCTGAAATAGTCTTGTCATTCTTTGTGCATACATTAATTTTTTAAATCTGATTTTTTTTTAGATTTCCAATGAGTGGCGCAGAATATCTATCCATCCATCATCTGAGCTGGTTATCCTCACGTGGGTCAGGGGCGTGCTGAAGCTTATCCCAGCCGAAATTCAAATCGTGAAAAAAAAAAAAAAAAAAAAAACTTCACTCAAATTTTTAGTTGTTCATAAATTGCACCTCAACTTAAAGCTGAAGTACAACCACAAACTCAAGCAATGTGAAACATTATTTACTAAATGCCTCTTTCTCATGGCTGTCCCTGGACCAAGTCAAAGTCCAATCACAGGCAACACAAGTCACTGATAAGCAGTCAAAAGGGTCCCAGTCAAAGTCTCAAGGCAAAAGAACGAAGCTCAACGCAGATATTGAGGTAATATATGCCCACCAGTCTGTAAACAGGATTCAAACATTGCAAATATATATACACACCATGAATCAACTTTTTTTTTTGCAGCTGAGAGCGTCTTCTTGGGCACTGAGTAATGCGAACGGTGATCAGTATTATACACATTTTAAAAATAAATTACCGTAATTTCCGGACTATAAACCGCGACTTTTGTCACACGCTTTCAACTCCGCGGCTTATTTCATGAAGCGGCTTATATAAAGACTTTTCTAACGGCCGCCTGTGTACCGTCTTTCTTTGTAAATATCTCATGTTACAATATGGGCACCTGCGGCTTATACACAGGTGCGGCTTATGTAAACTGCTTCAAACAACAAAGCGTGTCCCGGAAAAGTGGTTAGGACTGCACGACTGTCCGTGTTTTATGTTATGTGTTGTGTTGTGTTTATTATTTTACTTTGTTAACTGTTTTGTTAAGCGCTTTGTTACAGCTGCCGCTGTTGTGAAAGCGCTATATAAATCAGCATGTATTGTATTGTATTGTATGTGTGTACAAAATATTTTTTTCCTTTAAAATGTAGTGCTGCGACTTATAAACAGGTGCGGTCTATAGTCCAGAAATTACGGTAGTTAAAATTACCTTCTTTAATGTGACTTATTGTTATGTCATTATTATAGGCTAATGCTATTCATTATTGTGATTTCTCATGATAACTAGGAATCAGATGAATATTGGTACTCAATACTTTTTCTGTAATTCTTTGCCAATACTCAACATTTTTAAATGATAACTTCGATAACAGGATGTATTGTATTGTATTGCAACAATCCGAAGAAATCGGCATGTCCCATTACTGGTGAGAGTATTTTAGAACAGGCCTGCTGGCTACTCGTGTATTCGTTGTGGGCTACCTGGCGCTCACGCAAAAGTATCGGAAATCTTCCCAAGAAGCATTGAGGTGCCCTTGAATAAAGTAACAAATACCATATTTCGGCCCTGTTAGCACCGTGGTGAGAGTTTTAGTGAATACCCCCAGTTGCGGTCCATTTAAAACAAATAATTAAATACATTGTTACATTTGTGGGAAGAAAATGGAAGTTTGACAGTTACCTTCCAAAAGTGATTCTGCCACATGTTTCGTATTAATAGAACACTGACCTGTTTACGTTCGCGTTTGGTGTGAATGTGTTGCTGAGACTGTGGTGGTGGTTGCTGCTGTTGAGGGGCAGGGTTCATGACGACGGGTGGCGCCGGCACTGGGGGAGTAAACTGAGGCTGGGCTGGATAGTAGGCCCCGGCTGAGGATCAGACAGAATACGATGAATAAAAACTCCAAGGCTTAATTCATGTCATTCAATTAATGACACTAATACAAGCCCATGACAGAGACATAAAAGCAGTACACAGCAACACCATCTATAAAGACAGAATCACTCATATGAGGTGCAAAAAACATTTTTTGGGGGAAGGGGGAAATTTTAGCCTATTTACAATCCACTATTAATTATTTTCTAAAGTGCAGAGATTTTCACCAGGATAAACGTACAGGTACAAAAATTGGTGACTGCTAGGGAATGTTTAGGCCCCAGAAAAGGACATAAATTGGTTACACAGATGATCAGTGTGCTGGATATCACTGCACTACTGGACACTTTGTATTGGTTAATAACACTGTGTAATTTGTACAGTTGTGTTTAGATCACAATGTATATTTATTTACAGTGGGGCAGGGGCGGGGGGGGGGGTTGTTTTGGGTTTTTTTTGCCATAGGACTAGAATGGCTCCAATTACAAGGAAACGCAGTTCTTGTACTTTTTTAAACATTGAAGGCCAAAAAAAGGAGTATTGTGATTTTGATTCTAAAGTGAGGCTTTGCACTACCTCGTGCTTAGGCCCTAAAATTGTAATCCAGCAAATTTAGGTTAAGTGAACCAGGCCCATGTGTCTTGAAAAATAAAGCAATTTGCCATTTGTGCTTTGACTTTTAACAGCCTGTTACACACATTGACACATACAGTGGATATAAAAAGTCCACACACCCCTTTTCAAATGCCAGGCTCTGCAATATAAAAATTGAGACCAAGATAAATCATTGGACAACTTTTTCCACCATTAATGTGATGAATTACCTGTACAACTCAATTTAACTTTTTTTTTTATTTTATTTTTTGTGAGGGGAAGGAAAAACAACCGAGTTTTTGTGGTTGCTCAGCTGTGCACCCCCTGTCCTAGCTTGAGGTCTGGCTTTGATTTAGAATGAACTAGTCACATTTCAAGCTCAGGTTAACTGGGTGTCAGAACACATCTACCACAGTTTAGGTGCCTCTGATTAGCCGATTAGACTTAAAGTTGGTGGAGGCAGCTTTATGCTTTGCGGCTGTTCTTTACCTGGAACTGGGGGTTTAGTAATGGTGTGTGTGTGTGTGTGTGTGTGTGTGTGTGTGTGTGTGTGTGTGTGTGTGTGTGTGTGTGTGTGTGTGTGTGTGTTCGTTCAAAGTACCTCTGTTGGTTCACCCAGTCAATAATGTCAACAAGACATTCTGTTCTTCATTGATATTAGCTGGCCTTGTAAATGGCCTTAACAGTTCAGCTCTTAGTCAAAGGCAAGGAAGTATTGGCGTACAAAATGTTCAGACTGAAAAGGCCTCTCTTTCAGCTCAGCGGTAACTACACATGCTTGACTCTCCACTAGTGAAAGTATTACAGTCCAACTCACATTACTGAGCCGGCATTGTTGACCATGAGCAACACAGCCTAAATATAGTCAAAAGCCACATACGATAGGTTGCAAGAGGGAAGGAAGGACAGACCAAGAGAGACTAAGAGCATGCTCGCAACCAGAAAGCCAGAGGAAAGAATGTCACTTTTTTTGGAGAGTGTCCCAATACCGTAAATAAGAGGCATGAGATATGACTCATTAAGCACAGGCGCATGAGCAGTTAAAGGGTGGGAGGTGGGCTGCGAAGAGAGACTGTAAATCTTGACGACACCTACCCTGAGAGTCATCCACTTGGTGAGACCCGCGACTCCCCATGTTCTATGTCTACCCGACTGCAAAATGGAGAGGAGGGGTCTTTTGAATGCCCTTTTTTTTAAACTCCTTCCTGCCCCCTCTACAGGTGTCCACCCAAAATGATTTCTTTCACTGTTAAGTTTTGCCTCTTCCAGCGGATCTCAGCTTTACTCCTCCCTTGTAAGAGAAGGAAGATGTGTGGGTCTATATACACACATACCTGTGTGTGTGTGTGTGTGTGTGTGTGTATGTATATATATATATATATATATATATATAGAGAGAGAGAGAGAGAGAGAGAGAGAGAGAGAGAGAGAGAGAGAGAGAGAGAGAGAGAGAGAGAGAGAGAGAGAGAGAGAGAGATATAGCTTACACGTACAAAAAAATAACTATTTTCCCTCTCTTCTGTTTTTTTAATGCTTTTCTTTTAGTCACCCTCTTACATAATGGCCGATGTCACATTTTGACAAAAACAAACAAAAGATGCTGGCTACCTCTGCTAAAATCGACTACAGCCTTACTTAAACATTTAATTTTACCCTTGAAATAAGTTATTAAATATAAATCGGCATTTGGTTCACGTTTTCTGAATGAGACCGACAAAATGACTAAGTCATTATTTTACGTTTGGAACAATATTGTATATTATTGTTTGCTGCAGTGAATTTCCCCATTGTGGGAAAAGAAGTTTTCTTCTTTTCTCTCCGGTCTTTATTTGAAACTGAGGGCTTAGGAAAGGTGTGTGCCACAGATTGTGACAAACCAAGTCAGGAAACAATAATACTATGGTTGCCTTCTGTTTGCTGATGTGTCAATCAAGCAGTCTCTTCCCGATTTGGGGGCATGACACGTTGCTAAAATTCATCACAAAATAAGACAACCTCAAAAAAACTTTCGAGATGTGAATTTAAGTGTTGACAAAATGTTTACATTCAGACCTATTATATAAAGTGCCAACGTTTAGCCCAATCAGGGTCTCACTTTAAAGGCTTGACTATAGACCCATTTTCAGTTTGTAAACTATGGCTATGTTCACATTTCAGTGCGTGATGTCCAATTTGGATTTTTTTGTGCAAATTTGCAAATTTAAATTGAATGCAACGTGTCGTGATGTGATACACATGCGCACAAAGAACGACACATGGCAACCTGTTCAGGGATGTAAATGTGTTTCCGTGTGTGTAAGCTCATTTTATTATCTCATATCGCCAGAGTAGCGAGGCGGGAGTCGGTGCATATCATTTGGGGATATGATGTGACGCTCCTCCATTGCCTCATTTAAATGACGCGTCTACTGAAGAATAAATGAAGTGTCTGCATGGCTGAATTACTATCACCACAAATGTCCCTTTGTGCATCATTTTTCAAGTGGGATTAAATCAAAGTCAAATGTTAAGATAAAAATGGTTACTCAAAACAACTCTGCAGAGTCACGGACAACATTAGTAGTCTCCCAAGCACTCTCTTCCCCACCCGCGTGGAAGAAATATTGGGTTTTTGATGATGTGCATGTCAGATGGGTGTAGACTCATCGTATCCGATTTCTAGCAACATAGGAATTTATACACCTTTCTGTATATATATATATATATATATATATATAACTTATTGTTCACACTGCATGGAAAAAAATCTGATACGTGTTACGTCAAGGCAAAAAAACCAATTCTGAATTGAGCTGCAGTGTGAACATAACCTAAGACAACATCAGGATGTATACATTGTTGTTGAGGATTGCAGAAAGAACGGCAGTAAAAATTACTTTGAAAAAATTACTGTTGCCGGACAGAAAGGAACTTTCTGAGAGAGAGTATGAGGAAGATGTTACAAAGCGGGCCGATGTTCATTTTTATTTAGTGAAGAAAACTAGTGCTCACACTGGAGAGAAAACAGTGAGTCCTGCTTGGGCCATTGTCAACAGAAAGGAGAACAATGGGCATGTATGTAGCTATGGTTCTATGAGTCCCAAATGACTTCCAGAGGCAGTCAATGAAAGCTTTGTTTAGCTTTGACTCATAAAGCACACAACACTGAACAACAATCAAAAATTCAAGTAATAAAAATTGAGAAATGTGTTTCAAAATAATAAACTTGCTTAAATAGAGAAAAAAAAAATCCTAATGGCTCTAATAATGATTAATCCAACAAGCAAATTATCGACCTATAAAATACACTTACATATCCATACTATATAGCTAACTATAACTTATATTTCAAGCTCCCTATTGCTGATGAGCAGCATCAAGATTGCTTAGCTTGAAAGTATTGCTCAGATGCCTGGTGGGAAGCGGTCAGTTGAATATTTGCTGTGCGTTGAGCCTTGACTACCTCCAGAAGGTGCACCCAAACTTTTAATATGTACTGTTTGATGCAGAACCATAAACAGATGTTAAGCAGTGGCTCGGACTTACCATAATTACCATATTCGGACGGGCTGGTGCCTGGGTAGAAACCTGGCGCTCCAGCTGGTACAGGGTATTGCTGGGGTGTGGCCACGAAGGTTGGTGAACGGTACTTAAAAAAAAAAAAAAAAAAAAAATGAAGTAAATCAGCAAGGTTAACAGGAGAGAAATTATAATTGGAACATGAGTCATGATTATATGCACCGATACCAGTCGTGCTAACAGCATCGATATTGTACCTCTGTGCTCATATCAGCACTGGTACTGTAATTCTGTTATATTCATAATTATGCTCTAATACCACAGCTCCAATACCACTTGACCAGCCGGACAAATACCTTCCAAGCAGGTGGTGTAGGAGTGATGTCAGCCGTGTGGAGATACTTTAAGGCAGGGGTAGGGAACCCAGAGATAAGAAATTGATCAATCTTTCAGGTACTGTGACTTAAGATGGCCAAATAGTCTAAATAATGTGTTTCTTTTTAAAGTTCTAAACATTTTAACTCCTTATATAGTCAAAGTGTAAAATTCTTTTTGTAAACATCACCACAAAGCAAAAACTATTTCAACAGCCCCCCCCCCCCACTCCAATCCCCAGAGTTGTTCCTCTACCTGTCCTTGTATAAAATAGGCTGCCCCCTGTGGTGAGCTCGGGAAGGGCAACTGTTGTCCTGGGATCACCATCATTTGGGAACCAGGGTGTGGCTGGTAGACATGGGTGGGAGTTCCAGACCGAGGGGCACTACTGGTTGGAACACCTCGAGGCCCACTGCTGGGAGGCAAACTTGTTCTGTTGGCGTAGTAGGGCTAGAGGGTAGATAGTACCAGAGAGGAAGGATAGAGGAAGAGAAAGCAAAGTGAGCACGCTGACCAATGGGTCAATACAAAGCCATATTGCGCTAAGTAGAGAAACGAAGTGAAGCTTGGTAACCAGGGGCAAAAGAAGCACACATTCATTATAACTGGTTACCTTTCTGTGAAGTGAAAATACAATCAAGTCACATTCAATTGACTACGATTTAACTGATATTAGCCCTAGGACGGGTGAAGTCGACTCCCCCAGCCTGATAGCTGCATAGTTGACTCAATGAAGATAGAAATAGATATTCTGCTGCTGACCCGGGAGATGACTGCTTTCGTCAAACAGTAACAGATATAAAATCACACTCCTCAAGATGGTAATAGAGGGGGGGAAAAAGGAGGAAGAAATAGTTACCTGAAGAGATCTGAAGCTTCCCTTTAGCAGCACAAACAAAGACGACAGAGATGCATTAACTGGAAGCAATAAGGTGGGACAGTTTGAGAGAAACGCCCACCACAGGCAAGCAAAGCAAAGAAGCCAGAGACATGCTCCACTATCATCCGAGTCGTGACTTGTGACAAGCAACATACAGAGAATGATAACTTAAAATGAGTCTAGGACAGCGGTGTTCCCCAACCACCAGCCCACGGACCAGTAGGCACTTGGTACTGAGCCGCACAGACCCCCACCCTAATAGAGCAACGTGATGCCGGTGTATAGATTTGTTTATTTTTGTGTAAGCGAAAAATGGATGTGAGAAATTAGTATTTCATAATTATAACAAAACATCATATCTACACTCCTAGCATTTCATTGACACAAGAAAATGTTATTTTCTGAGTACATGAAAAAATTAAGTTGAGGTTAGCATGTTTGCTTGGCCACAGTTTCTTGTGAGGCCATTTTGCAAAATTAAGTGCCCTCCCGGCGGACCAGTGGTTAGCGCGTCGACCTCACAGTGCAGAGGTACTGGGTTCAATTTAAGCTTCGGGCTCCCTGTGTGGAGTTTGCACGTATTCCCCGGGCCTGCGTGGGTTTTCTCAGGGTACTCCGGTTTCCTCCCACATTTCAAAAACATGCATGGCAGGCTGATTGAACGCTCTAAATTGTCCATAGGTGTTAGTGTGAGCGTGGATGGTTGTTTGTCTGTGTGTGCCCTGCAATTGGCTGGCAACCGGTTCAGGGTGTCCCCCGCCTGCTGCCCAAAGACGGCTGGGATAGAATCCAGCAGCACCCCCGCGACCCTTGTGAGGATAAGCGGATGTGAGGTTGGTTTCAATACAGTGGCGCCTTCAGATACAGCGGGAGCAAAACTGAGTTTGGTTGTACTTTATTGAAGTATTTACCAATGACCTCACGTTATTTTTTTTATCTATTCTCATCTAGGAATCCATCAAAGTCCTCATCTTCTGCTCTCCATAAAACACGCCTGGTTCCCTCGCATCGTTGTCAGAGTCAGTCTCGTTGCCGTGCGGCTACTCAGAAATGATGCCGGCTTTCCTCAAACAACAGTGCAAGCAGACTCGCTAGCCCAAGCATCCACAATCCATTTCCAAAATGTGTCGTAACTCGTCTGGCGCTTCCTCCCAGTCTTAGTAAAGTTGTGTTCACCATTGTTCCCACGCCGCTCGTCACTTCGCTTTGACTCTGGCTGGAAACTTTTCTTTTGTCTTAAAAATCACCGTAAGTGCTCATTTCTGTCCATTACCATGGCAACCAAGCAAAACAGTAAAAGCCAACTTCTCGCACCCCGTTGTGCGAAGCGCTACTGTGCTGGTCTCCTTCTTCTCTATGGTGTGGTTCATCGGGATGTCGAAAGTGAGCAGCAAATTGTCCACATTGGTGATATGGTTGGCCTATATGTGTTTGCTGGCAATCTTTTTGTTGTAGTTCAAAATGCAAAGTGTGCTTGTCCCTCATCACCGTAGCCCAAGCGGATAAGCTAGGAATGTGTCGGTAATGGAAGCCAAGCGAGACAGGCAGAGGGGCAGAATAAAGGATTAAAATCTCCAAGAAAGCACCTTTATTTAATGCAATGCAGAACATTACAGGTTTTACTGGAGTAGGAGCGGAAGATGGACAGCTTTTCCTTGGAATGATGTTACTGCGACACGGTCGTCCTTACTGGATGGATAGATGGTGCTGCTTCATAAAACAAAAGCACCAAGCACCATAGATTAGTTGATCTTAAATTCTCTCGCAGCTGCTCGATTCCCATGGTCCTCCGTGTAACTGATCGCTTGCAGTTTGAAATGTGCTTTGTAACCGTCTCTTCGTAGGTGCCATTTTCGGGATGTTGTGTTGCACAATGCACGTACTATGTACACCTACTGGGGGCGTGCATGAAGCGGCCTCTCTCATGCTCACCCTTCCCACTTTAATGTCCACAGGCTGTCCTCAGTTATGTCCGCCTCAGCTCTATATAAGCAAAGTGTTGGCACTACATCACTCAGTCAAGCAGACCCCTCATCATTGACATGCAAGCGCCAGCATGAGCCATGCCAAACCCTCGGTATCACAAACAAGCCAAAATTAGTCAAGTAAAATATGGCAATAATGAGCCCGCTAAAAAGTTAAACTCATCATAAGACAGTTGGGCAACACTGATGCATGCACAGCAAGAGCGTATCGGTTCACTTCACTGACACTGTATGAACATTGACTGAAGATTAATGGAACTATCAAACATCCTCTAGTGTCTAACGCAAATAAATATTTACAATGCACTGGTGGAGGAGCAACTTTTCACATTACATCACAATGTACGTACATAAAAACAGGTTTGCAAAATAGGTTTTTAAAAAAATTCATAATTATCAACATTGACTGATATAAAATTTTCCACACTATAAGGCACATCTAAGAGCATTCAATTTTCTCAAAAGCCGACAATGCAACTTAAAATCCGATGCACCTCATATATATATATATATATATATATATATATATATATATATATATATATATATATACACACACACACACACACACACACACACACACATACATATATATGCATCAGTATTCTGTTTTATTGGGTGTAGTATTTTAAATTTTTCTCTAAAGCACTTTATTACAGCTGCAGCGGTTGTGAAAGCTCTCTATGAATAAAGATGCATTGCATTGTATTGTATTGTACTGTATTCCCTTTAGAGCAGGGGTCCCCAACCTTTTTTGCCCCACGGACCGGTTTATGTCAGACAATATTTTCAGAGATTTTCTGCAACCAGACGGTCCCATCTCGGGGTAATAGGAGAGACAATGACACCGCAAGTGTGTGGTTTATGTCCAGTCTACTTCCTAATTTTGTTTTAGTCGCCGTTTCTGCAGAAAACCCCGCCTCACACAGGTAGGATGTCGGAAATAGCAACAGTGCTATTGTGGCGATCTCAGAGTATTCAGCCATAACTTTAATCCAGTTGTCTCGAACGTACTTGTAAGGCCGCCGTCATTTGCGATGTCCAGCAGTTTTTTTACTCATTTTGCGAGCTCCGGTGTTTGTTTTTAGCCTAATTGGTCGCGTTACGGTGAAGCGTGGCTTGACGCGTGTCAACCGTGACACAGACGGATGTAACGGAGAATCCGGTAATTTTTCAAAATAAAACATCTTTCGTATTCCGAAATAAATAAAACGGAATTAAGGCAAGTTCTTTCTGTGCGGCCCGGTACCAAATGCCCTGTGGACCGGTACCGGTCCGCCGACCGGCGGTTGGAGACCCCTGCTTTAGAGTACCTCCATCTAGTGGATGCATAACGCAACCACAGCCACTATTGTAGCTTCTACTCTATGCACCTTATAATGCGGTGCGCCCTATATATGAAAACAGTTTTAAAATAGGCCATTCAACTAAGGTGCACCTTATTCTATGAAGTGCCTTATAGTGCAGAAAATACAGTACTTACTTTTTGTATCGTGAAACATTTTTTGGCTATATCGCCGAAAAGCACATTTTGTTTAAAAAAGGCATTAATTTAATCTTTATTTTGACGAGTTCATTTGGCTTTTTCATAGTTGCGTGGCCTTGTTTGAATAAATTACCTAAATTCAGCCTTTTTTAGGGTCCTTATTTTCAAAACTAAAAAGAGAAAAGAAAAAAATTCCCCATATATCGATCTAGACCAATATGAAAAACTTACATCCTGATATACTTTTCAGTCATACTGCCCAGCCCTACTGACAATAATTAGAAAAAAGAATTATCAATGGCAGAACTATCGTTATACATTTCTTCCGGTGTTCACATTTTCAAATGATCACTTTCTCCGAGACAACCACAATATCCCATTGCTGGGGAAATACTTCGAGAACTGGTTTGCAGTAACTCATGTGGTCCATGGGGGTTAGCAGGTGCCCGGGAACCACAACGTAGGTGACCCCTGCTCTACGACATGTCCACACGTTGAAAAATGTGCTGGTGTTTTATTGACCGATAAGGACAGCACATATATTTCACAGTGTATACTCACATTTGCGGCTTAAAGTATATGTACTTTTAGCCACGAATGTGAGTAAACCACTCCCACCGCTGAGCTTTGATTTGAGTTATTAGTACTGTACCTAAATGGGTTCTTACATTCAAGCTATTTTTAAATCCTGCTAAATCCTTCTACTTGTTTATAGGTTTGTGTTTGTCAGCGTTGTGGGAAATAAAAACATGAGTTATCCTACCTGTCTGGGCTGTGGTGTTGGGTTCATTTGAGGCGGTTGGGTGGCAAACACAACAGAAGGGGGCTGCCCAGGGGAGAAAGGGGGCTGCAAATAAATGACAGTGGACGATATCAACAAGAGCAAAGTGGAACACATGACAGGTGGACTAGGGAGTGGAAAACGGGGAGTATCTTCAGATGATCAGACGTTAACCCACACAAATTAAACTGAAGCAATGTGCAAGGATGTGAAGAACATATCAACCGCAGCAAACTTTCTCCCTACCTTGTGACTGCATGGGAGTACAACATTCTAATATTACTGTACTCTAATGCAGTGTTTTTCAAACTTTTTTGAGCCAAGGCACACTTCTTTTTTTGAAAAAATCTCGCAGCACACCACTAGCTGAAAATGGGAAAAAAAATAACGTTTATTTTAACAATTAACGTGTTATATTGTTACTATGACCGTTTTTAACATTGAAGAATGACGTTATAACAGCTTGATTTGGAATCAAATGAGCACAAAGAAAAACGGATTTTATAATCTTCCATATTTATTGTTTCACTGTCATCCTGCATTCATGCGGCGCAAATTCGCTTGTCTCTGGTGGTCGAAACACAAGGCAATTGGCTAGCTGTTGCTGCTCCCTAGCGGTATGGGAGGGTACTACATGATTACTTTCTGGGCGATAGACCGCACAGGCATACAAATTGGATATTTCACCGCGGCACACCTGACCTGCTCTAATGAATGTCTATTACTGCGTATCATTATCTATATTAAAAGAAGTTATGGATACATTGATGAGTGGTCCAGAAAATTAACGAACAAACGAACGGATAGATGGATGGGTATGAAAGAATCAGTTCTATCACAATTTTTCTCAATGTGTGCACAGTGAACCGCTCTATTTACGGGGGATGGAATTTAGGCCTGCCCGCAAACATCGAAAATCTGCGTCTAATTGTTGGCCATTGAAATAGATTTTGCGAGTGTGTGTGTGTGTGTGTGTGTGTGTGTGTGTGTGTGTGTGTGTGTGTGTGTGTGTGTGTGTGTGTGTTTCTTGGTGGGAGGGCGGGGGGCATTATGGGGTGGTGTTGGATGTCAACAGGTAGCTGGGTATGTTGCAAACGGGAGATATTTTTCTGCAGTTTACCCTGTCATTCACGTCTCCTGAGATTTTTTCATGAAAAACGAAGGTTTCTGGAAAAAAAAGTTTCCATCACCACTACAACAAAAATGCTCTGACATCACAGGGGCACAGAGCATGGATGCCTGCAAAACTGTGTTGGTTCCAACCATTTTCCAGGCACTTTTTGCTTGCTTATTTTTACAAACCCGAATCTTGCACTTTGTTGAAGAGCACAAGTGAAGGAGCACTTTAAGGTTGCCTCTTTTCTGCCAGATTTCTTGGGAAGCATAACTCCACTCATTAGCACAGCACAAGAAAACTTTCGGGGAAGCCTCTCGTACAGGCCCGCAGAAAATGAAACGAAACGGGTCTCAAAGCAGTATCTCTGTATTTCAGCAACCGTTTTCAACCGCTTAACGGGAGCCGTTCATGAACATGATGGCATTTTCATCTTCCTCCACAAGACCCAATAAATTGTGCGTACCTTAGTTTGTTTTATGTGGTTTGTATCTTTAATGGTAAGAGGTTTACTTGCGAGCCTCAATCTCAAATGTCTTTCCCTTTTCCTTGCTTTTTTTCCTTCCTTTTTTAAACGGCATTTAATGTAAAATTATCGAGAAAATGTTCAAAGAGCTTTCCGAAAAACACATTTTGTCCGAAAGACACATTTTGTCATCTAAATAAAGGAAAGATTATTTTAGAATGATGATGAATGACTTATTTCTTCTGTAGTCAAATGCCCTTTACCAGTACAATGACAGTTATTAACTTACCAAACAGTCCCTTACCTGTGAAAGGCCAGGGGACGGGGCAGGGTGGGGAATGGAGGGGGGTCCTGTTATAGGCTGTGGTGCTTTATTCATTTCATGGGGTTCTGCATCAGGAAGGAGAGGCGCACCTCTGTACAGATCTTCAAGAAAAGAACAAGGAATTCAATGTTGAAGAGTGAAAACATTTGGCTCTCAACTGAGAGATGTTTGGCGTAACTGATGTTGCCTGCTCCGGCTCAGAATACTTACATGTATGAATCTGTAAGGAGTTGTGATTTAAAGATTTTCTCCTAAAGACATAGATAACAGCGTTGTCAGCAATGTCCATTATTTCACTTATCAGTCCTTTCTTTGAACATAATAAAATAGATACCGTAGCCAATGATTATAAAGTCATTTGATAAATAATGACATCATGCAAGACTTTTCGATAGCTAGTGAATTTTAAGCACATTTTACATGAACTAACCAAAGAGTGAGTTGTTTTGTGTTTTTATGAAGCAACTTGCCTCCAAACAACCACAAACAGCAATGTGCCTCTGAAGACTCATGACCACATCCATGACCCATTTTCATTATTATTGAGAGTGAGTCCAGTTTTTACATCAAACAAGAACAATGGTTAACACCGTTTTGCACTTCTTAAAAGATGTCAAAAATCGCCTTACATCACACTAGTGTGATCCACATGCACACACCAAAGGAATTCTCTTTTTTTAATGAGATAGATGCAAAGGAATCCTGATGGATTTGGCATTTTAAACGGTGGCATGGGAGTGTCTGTTTGAAACCAAAATGATGATAGACATAGACAGCATCTAATAAATACCCGGTGTGTATTTACGCGAAGATGTGCTAGCCACTGTATGTCGCAATAAGGCATAGAGCAGTGGTTCTTAACCTGGGTTCGATCGAACCCTTGGAGTTCGGTGAATCGGTCTCAGGGGTTGACGGAGCCTCTGCTATGGAGGTTAAGACACACCCAACTCAACATGTCAATTAGTTATGACACACCCACTTGGCTATCACTGGCTGCAGATGATCACTTTAAATTGCTTGTCCAATCAGTGCTGTGGGAAATTTAGTTTGCTTAGTAGTCAACGTGTGACTGTTGTGATAGTACGTCAGAAAAAAAAGTATACTTATCTCTTGAAATTTTATTTACTTTTTTCTGTTTTTTAATACATGCGTTTTTTTTAATATCTTGAATTTGTAAAAAAATATATATTTTTTCACTAATGAAGGGTTCGGTGAATGTGCATATTAACTGGTTGGGTTCGGTACCTCTAAAAAGGTTAAGAACCACTGGCAGAGGGCCATCTCTGCGGCATGATGTGTTAACCGCATGCTTTCCATGCTATCAGTGCGATGTGCTCGCCTGCTGTCCGCCACTTTGTATCCCCACTTCACTCTTCATGGCAAATTAATCTCTTCTGAATTGAAACATTAGTATCGCTGCTTCGAACACGATCCAATATCGAACGAAGGCACAACTTTAACAAGTAGGACAGTAGTAGCAATAAGCAAGCGATGCCGGCTCGGAGAACTGTTGAGTTTACACATACCGGTAAATGAAATGATCGTCTTATCAAGTAGTTGCCTCGAACTTGGGAGAAACGCAATAAAACACCACCATCACCATCGTGTTAGTCCATGTTTATATTGTTTCACCAAGATGACTCTAGTCTATAGTTGTGTGGGGCAGATGTGTACAGAACACGCTTTCTTCGAGTAGCTGCAGCGTCAACCCACTCTGCAAGGACCCACATGTCGTAAATGTGACTTCCAACAGAAACCGAACGTCTTGAGCAGGTGTGGGTTGCGGAAATCCATTCCCATCACTGAATAAGAAAGTTGTCAAAAGACATTGGAATCATGTTGTATTTGGCTCAACGCAAAAGGAGAATGGTTTGTGAAGCTCCTTTCAAAAGCACACCAACAACTTTCTCCAATGAGGCAAAGTAAGGCGTGGACACAACAGTGATTTGTCATTCAGCGTATTAGCCGGTGAACACAACAATCCTATAAAGTAGTACGTAATGATTGTTTCAACGTGAGAAATTCGTATGTGTTTATTTTAAAACGCAGCATTCTTATGTCTTATGTCACTTGATTTGGGACTTAGGTGTTTTCCCTTTTTTACTGGCGTGTTGATTTCGAGGCCAATTTAAATTAAGGTAAGAACACACACGTCGTTTGAGGATGCTGATGCTAATTGGGAACTAGCTAGCAGACAGGCTAATCCCTCAAACCAGCAGTACTACTCATAATAAGCAATTTTATACTCACTTAGATTTGGAATATTACGAGTATGCCCAAGTACATTTTTATGAATGATCTCCCTGTATATATATATCTCACAGTCACCGAATACATGTTTGGCAGATGATAAATAAGAATTCACGTAAAAGGCGTTTCATTACCTTTCTCTCCTTGAGTCCGCAGAGCCGGACGGACAGAAAGTCCTCCCGGAAGCCGGTACCTTCGTAATTCCGGCCAAATCCCGTCACGTGCAAGGAGTTCTCGGTCGTAAAAGGCAATTGGTACTCGCGTGCCCCTCAAAACTTCCACAGCCGACAATAAACTTCGGAGGAACATAACAACAAACTCATTTTTCTCAGTCGCTTTACTAGAAATAGTGAATAGAAGTTGCACAGCCTTGTTTATTAAACTAATATGTATGCCATTAAATCAGTCATACATCTAAAAATATATAAATAATGCGCAGCCATGGCGTTTATAACGTTCACTCGCTGAAGATGTGTTCTTACGTGAACTCAACTGATATTACAGAGTAGGTTGTATTGTAGCGACGTAGGCTAATATTATTTATTTTACAGCCGTCAAGACGGCTTCCACATGGTAAGACAAAGTCAAGGCAGCCGCCCCAATTATTAAGACTGTCCATTGTGTACATTACGGTAAACGCCGCCAACCAGTTGCGTTGGCCACCTTCAAAATAAATGCTTAAAATAATTCATGGAAATCGGTGCTTTGGATTTAAAATAAGACCAAAAAGGTTGGGAATCACTGTCCTATGCAAACACACTCCAGCGACCGCTAAGCTTCCAACACGCACCACCACTTAAACTTGCCTCTGTTAGTAGAAGCTTCTTATTAGAGGTGGAGTTTCAGATGCGCTTTAGGATTCAGGACCGCCTTGAAATTAGCACCGCTACTGCTCGACACGCGCGAGTTTGACACTACACACTTCTTTTGCATTTTTTTATTGTACCCCCCCCCCCGCGCACTCCTCTTCTAAATAAGATAAAAACATAAAAACAGTACATCTTAGTTTTGCAACACCCAGTCACGAGTAAGTCATGCTTACAATGGAACAGCCTTGGATATGCGATTGTCTATTGTGCAAGATGACTTTTTTGTGCGTTGTGGTCAGACACGAGCGTGGGAGGAAGGAGTGAACAGGCTACATTCAATTCCTGGTAGCTGTTTTAAAATTTGCCCCCTCACAAAAAAAAAAAAAAGCAATAGTGAAAAAAAAAATGTGGGCAGCACAGTGAACGACTGGTTAGCACGCCAGCCTCATAGTGCAGAGGTCCAGGGTTAGATTCCGGCTTCCTGTGTGGAGTTTGTATGTTCTCCCCGTGGCTGTGTGGGTTTTCTCCACATACTTCGGTTTCTCCCACAGTCTAATAACATGCATGTCAGGTTAATGGAACACTCGAAATTGTCCCCAGGTGTGATTGTGAGTGTGAATGGTTGTTAGTCTATGTGCACCTTGCCGTTGACTGGCAACCAGTTCAGGGTGTACCTTGCTTACTGCCCAAAGACAGCTGGGATAGGCCCGTGATCCTTAAATGAGGATAAGCAGATTGGAAAATGGATGGATGAAAAAAAATGTACCAATGTTCATTTTACAATGTGGATCCTCATTTTATTTTTCAACAAACCATATACAGTACTGTAACAAAACAAACAAAAAAAACTAACACTTTAATGATTTTGTTACAAATGAGGATGTAAATAGTGGGAACAAAACATCCGTTGCACTGAAAAGGCTTGGTGAATGTTCTGATAACTGAAAGATTTACAGGAGGGCTGGAGATGGATGTTGAAGATGTTTGAATGGAAGCCAAGCGCTGGTCCAGGGCAAATCTGTGTTGTGTGTATAAGGTCCAAGTGAACCTCTCCCTTGTCAAAGCAGTCCAATTAGCCAGACTCCCAACGATCCCCTTTTTAAGACAATTGGGGCAGGTCATTGGCATCGCACCACTGCTCTTTCTAGCAATGTATTAAAACAAGTTATAAAGATAGCACAGAGCCATGGAGGGTTACCCTTGAAAACACAAGGAGGCTGGAGATAGGGGACGGGGGGTTGACAGTCTAGGTTTCATAATTGGGGTTCTTGCGAAGAATAACAAAGCCCTCCAGGATGGGGGTGACAGGTAAGTACTCCTCTGTGGCCAACTCCGCTCTCTCTCCATGTGCCAGCAAAACTGGTGTTGTGTGGGTCTGGAATCCTGTGATGGCCTTGGGTTTGCCTGCTTGGCCCACAACGTCCACGGCCTGGGGAGACATCATGAAAACTTCAATCATGTCCTGCTTTGCTCTTTCCTTGCAAATGTTCCCATTGTGGGACGAATAAAAGTTATCTTAATTTATGTTGTGAAATCATGGCGACTTCCTTGACCATTTACTCATGACATTTGTCATATACTCTGTACAAGAATTTACCTGACCAACTCTGACAGAAACAGGCAGCGGTCGGAGTTCCTCGTCAAAGGTGACGAGCATACGCGGCTGCATGGCTGCTACCAGGCCATAAAGAATGTAATGAGATTTCCCCAGGATTACTGCAATTCACACAGCGACACCGAGGTGGAATTTTAATGCAAAGAAATCATTGAAGACTGATGATGAATAGTGAAGTGTGTGTGAAAGCAAAGAGTAAAGGTAATATAAACTCACTGTTCTTGACATCGAGGAAGGAAACGAGCGCTGTGAGCAGCCCAGCCACAGCAACCTGACTCATGAGCTGTCTGTCGCTATGGTAGGGACACAGTGTGAGTGTGCCTTTACCCAGATGAGTCAGACCCTGTAGATGCACAAACAGCACAAAGTCAATTTTTTGTCACAGACAAACACACGTTGCTTTGTGACGCCACCACACACCTGGGCCAGCCGAACCATGAAGAGGTTGTTTGGGTCTTTGGCATGATACTGTGCCAGCTGTCGTAGCATTGCAGCCAAGCGGGCATTATTTGTTCCTGGAAAAATGGGGTGGGGGGGGGAAATATGTCAGTTAGAAATGGGATGGATACTGTGATTAGGGGTGCTCCGATCGATTGGCCACCCATCAGTATCGGCACATTTTTGTGGAAAAGCACCGATCAAGCCTTTTTAAAGCCGGTTGATCACCCTAGGTCCGACATACAACTTTAAATATTTAGTAGCTCTAAACTCACCACTGCCCACCATGCCCATGGCGAAGATAGAGTTGTGTGAGACCTCAGGGTCAGCATCATGGGAAAACTTGCTGAGGGTGTCCAAGATGTTCAAACGGGGGTTGGACACCGAGATGAGAGCCAGAGCAAGAGGCACGGCTCGCCTCAGAGTGGGCTCACCATAACGCAGCTGATTTAGAAAAATAGCACAAAAGACATTTTCAAAACTTTACACTTGTCAAAAATTTGCAACACCCACATGTGTGGTCTGACTTATAGTCAAGATTTGTGAAAACATTACATTTAGCTAATTGTGACAAAGGTGGTTCTGGCACCACAAAAGCAAATAAATAAAACTTTGGAAACCGTGTTAAAAAAAAAAAATGGAATATGCAGCCTGCAAATCCCAGAAAATGCATTCAGTCATTTTCATATACCCCTAATGATTTTTTGTAGTATGATGTAATGTCTTCAATTAACTCATGAATAAAAGTAATAGACCTAAATAACGTCCTTCAGTGAACAATAGGACGGAGGGTTGGGCAATGTGGCCTTAAATTAAAATCAAATTTCTTTTTCTTTTATTCTTTCTTCCAAAAATCTAACTTCAATCAATGGTATGCCCTTCGCTTGCAAATGTTGGGTTTTCGTCAGGGTTCCTAAAGGTTGTAAACAATTTCCAACATCTTTACAACCTTTTTGGAACCCTGATGAAAACCCAACATTCGCTACAATCGCAAGCGTTCGCCGCTCAGTGAGATGTGAGCTTGATGGAAAAAGCAAATGAGAATTCCATTCTTCCAAACCAAGATTTACTCCTGGAAGCGGCTTTATTTTTCCTTATACCAAACAAATGCAAAGACTTAATTTTACACATCATTGCCTACAGATTAACACAACATATTACTGCGCACTCACCAAAACCTTTTAAACTAAACACCAAATTACATTTGTGTGTCCAAAGGTCAGTATACTCAGTGGGCTCAGAGGCTCCAACAATAACCACAACAGGTTCCTGTTGTCAGTGTCGTGCTTGGAATGCTCCCTTAACGCTATGCGTCACAGATTCCCCCAGGCCACGTGGGCACCTCTACTCTCTAATCCAATTGCCAAAGTGTGCCATTCAAATGGCTGCAGACTTAATTGTCTAGCTCAATAAATTATGCAATCTTTTTTTTTCCAGGAAGCAATTGTGTGTCCAATCTGCCAAATTTTAGGTATGCGAAAAAGACCTTTCCTTTGTTAGAGAGAGCTGTGAAAAACCAAAAATTAAAAGTACTCACCAGATGTCCAAATGTCCGCAATGCCATTTCAGAGCCAATCTCCTCCCCCATAGCAATGAGTGCAATACCGAGAACAGCTACTCCCTAGGATGAAACAAAGTGATACTACATCTAATAATCTTAGGAATAAAAAATGAAAATGTTCACCATTTACCTGGTGAGAGCCCATGTCAGCTGTTTCTTTCTTATCTTTGTCTTTTTTATCTTTTTTGTCCTTGTCGTCCTCTTTTTCCTTCTCCTTGGCCTCATAGTGCTCACTGCAGATGTGGAGAAGCTGCTGCACCTTCAACACATTGCCAGAACCTAGAACGGGTGATGACATAAGAAGATTCTCTCAACAAAATACATCTCTATTTATTTAGTCCTTTCACAACAGATGGGGTATTTGCATGTGCAAACAGAGAAAAATTAGTCAATAAAAACTAACCTGCATAAGCACATATATCGACGAGCGTGTTGGCAAAACTGCGGAAAGGTTCAGGAACAACTTGGAGAGCTGCCAGTGTGGTCTCGATGGCCTCTCCTTTACCTATGATGGAATAATGAAAGGGAAAATAAGACAAGAGAAAGTAGGGGAAAAAAGTTAATTGACCAGAACAAAATTGCTCTATTTGTGGTAATCCATGAGATTTGTCAAGACCATTAAAAAACAGTTCATGGAAAAATACCAAATTATTGCACCAGAAGGAGAATCACAGTAGTTTCATCGTCAAAGTTTTAAACGTGCATGTAAATTATTTACTCTTGTACAAAAAAAACCACACAATTACAATTTACCATTGAGATCAAGCATTGGAGTATAACATGAGTCACAGGGCCAGCCAAACTATGACATTAAGTGTGACTAACTGTCCAAAAAAATCCTCTGCGGGGTGTTTCTGGTCCCCATTAACCACGAAAAACAAAGGATTACTGTAAATCAGTTATTGAAAATGCAATACTGGCAGAGGGAAAAATATGTTGAAGGTGGCAGTAAAGTGGCTGCTGGACAATCGATGTGGAGCTCATTGTGGAAATGAGCAACAGTGAGTGCCGCATTCATGCCGTTTAATTACATACACAGAACCATAATGTAACCGCAATATTAGATAGTACAGTATATTACTGAATCCCTTGTGGATGAATAAAGTGTCTGTCGATCTTTCTATCAATCGACCATATTGTGAATAACAAATAGATATAAACATGCGTTCCAGATTGTGCGCACAGAAAAAAAAATTCAAGCCACAATGTCAGAAAGCTAAGCAGTCTCCATTGACAACAATTTTGCAATTTTTCTCGAAAATGAGATCAACTTAATAGCCACCTTTGGGTCTCTGGACTCCTGGGGCTCTACAGCGCACGACATTAGTAAAGTTGCTGATTACAGAGTGAGGGCCATCTCAATTGTCTGCATTTATATCAAAGAGCAAGACTGGGTGTGCAATCCCTTGTTTATGAGTGATGTGTGAATCTATTTGTGTGTACTGTCATAGGGCCTACAGGCAATAATTATCACTATAAGTTTAACTAACATCGCTATTTTTTTTTTTTTTGCCAGTATTTTGAATACTATTGAAACAGTAACTATCTGTAATCGTTGTTGATGGAAATGAGAGAGGGTCATTCAAAAACATAATTTAAAAGAAGCAAGCAAAAATGTGTAATAGAACTTGTATCACATAGGTATCTTTACTGTGAATGGAGTGTAGTTAGTTCTGTGATTCCAACTTTTTTTCCAGCTCACTGCATTTGAAGGTTTTCATGCCCTTCCCAAAAAATATAACCAGCTATCATACAATATTTTTAAAAATAGTGGCGATTGATCATTACCCAAATGGTTGAGTCCTAAACCGAGAGGGAGCCAGCGAGCATATGTGTCTTTCAGCTCCTGTTCGTTCTTCTCCATGATGGTCTGCACAATGGTGGAGGTCACGTCACCGTTACACGACCCCACAGCAATCATACCACATGCCAATGCTGTCACACCAACCACCTGGATGGAAAATAAACCCAGAAAATTAGATATTTTTTTGGGGGCACATTCGAGCATGTGAAGAAAGATCAGCAGATCAGCCAATCATGCAACAAAACACACCTCCATGCTGGATTTTGAGTCTCCCATGACAGGCAGAAGCAAGGACAGGACATCTTCTCTATTTGAGCCAGCATAAGCTAAACCCAATCTGTAAAGGAAGATGTTAACATTTAGCATGTATTGAGAAGACTGATTCAACGTTTACAACAACGCAAGGTCATCTAAGCTGTAGGTACACATGCATAGAAAATTGTCGACCGTTCAGCGTTTAACGTTTTTTTTTTTTTTTTTTGGTTACTTGTCCTCACCCAAAAATGGCACCTATCCTCATCGTATTACTGTTGTGGAGGACATAGTCTGACAGCAGGGCCAGGGCTGGGTCACATTCATTCCTTACACCTGAGTTTACGATGCCGCATGCAAGGAGAGCACCAGACTGTAAAAGAAGATGACAAAAGGTTAAGAATTAAGCAAGATGACCTCCTGTGCTGCAATTACTAAGGCATAAAATAGTAAGTATTATATTCTCTCTTATATTCTGTATTTTTGCTACACTACTGATTTATAGCCTTGAGTTAGTGGCATGGAGTTCATCTCGAACTCAGCAAAATAAAAATATTTGATGTCTAATTTACCTTAATGTAGTCCTCAGATGAGTAAAGATATTTATCGATTTGGGTCAGGCCACCATCCACATCCCACAGCAAGATCATCCCAAGAGAAGCTGCAGCGCTCAACATGCCTTGAAAATGTCAAATCACACAGATATGATCAGAAATACAGAGATGCAAAAAAGGTTATAGTTATTAGTATACAGGTATATAGAATTTTCAGTACCATGGTCCTTGTTCTTGTACAACCATTTGTTGCCATCATCTGTTAATAGTTTATCCTGTCCAAATGCTGCATTAACAAAGCCATTCACAAAGGAAGAAGCAAGGTTCATACGGGCTGAGTCCACCTGGGAGCCACTACCTCCAAACCCTTGAACACAGAAAAAGAAATTCATTTGACGTGTATAAATAACAAAACATATAAAAAGAAAAATAATTCATTCGTCATTGTGTAAAATGTAAATCAAACAGTTTTGTTCAATTTGAAGCATTGGCCTGGACACATGCAATTAAAGTAGTCGATCATCACAAATCCAATGTCTGACTTCCCTTTTCACATGCAGGTGTATTTCAAAGACGTACTATTATTTTCCAGGTGCGTTTTGTAGATGTCATCTGGGACTTTGGGTTCCATGATGTCCAACTGTTGAGGTCAGAAATAGTGTGTGACAAGATTTTGATTAATACTTCAATATGTTGCCGCAACCAGTGAATACAGACTATCCGAATGATACTTGGAGCTTACAGACCTTATGGCCAAAATGTATGCAGAACATGCAGTCAATAATAAATGCCTTGTTGAAAATAAGATACAAAAAGAAATAGATATTTAATAAATGTAAAACCCCTCACGACTCGTCACATTATTTGCAGTGTCCCAGTGAACGCGGTAGCTAATGTTTGACATTGCCAGCAGTAAGTCGTCGTCATTTCCGGTGAGGGTTGTCCGCTAAGGATGCTCTATGTCACCGATTCTGTTGATAAACTTTATGGACGGAATTTCCAGGCGTAGTCAAGGTCTTTAATGTGCCTGGCTTGCTGGTCTCAGTATAACATCTCTGCTTTTTGCAGATAACGTGGTACTGTTGGCTTCTTCAGGCCATGATCTTCAACGCTCACTGGAGCGGTTCCCAGCCAAATGTGAAGCGGTTGGGCTGAAAGTCAACATCTGGTCCTCAGTCGGAAAAGGGTAGAGTGCCCTCTCCAGGTCTGGGATGAGGTCCTGCCCCAAGTGGAGGAGTTCTAATATCTTGGGGTCTTGTTACTAGTGAGGGGAGAATGGAGCGGGAGCTCGACAGGGGGTATGGTGCAGCATCTGCAGTGATGCAGACTCAATATCGGTCCTTTGTAGTGAAGCGGGCGCTTGGCCGCAATGTGAAGCTCTCGATTTACTGATCGATCTCTGTTCCTACCCTCAGCTATGGTCATGAGCTGTAGGTTGTGAACGAAAGAATAAGATCCCGGATACAAGCGGCTGAAATGAGTTTCCTCTGCAGGGTGTCAATGCTCTCCCCTAGAGATAACGTAAGACGCTTGGTGATCACAGAGGGGCTCAGAGTCAAGCCGCTGCTCCTCGGCATTGAGAGGAGCCAGATGAGGTGGCTCAGGCATCTTGTCAGAATGCCACCTGGACACCTCTCTGATTAGTTATTGCGGGCATGTCCCACTGGCAGGAGGTCCCGAGGATGAACCAGGGCACATTGGGGAGACTATAGCCCCGTTCACATGGCAACGTTTGGTCCGACGCTGCGCCGAAACAGATCCAGTCGAGCGTTCACACGTGCACATTTGCTCTGACGTAACTCCACTAAAGAGCTTATACCGGACCAAATTTGATCCACCTCAGGGAGGTGGTTTAAAAATTTGCTCCAGAGCAAATGCTCGTTTGCGACGCTACGCCGGAACAAATGTGCACGTGTGAATGCAGCTGGGTTAAATTTGCTCCAGAGCAAATGCTCGCTTGCGGGGGAGTGGCCTCGCTACG